TAGATGCCGATAAAATTCCCAAGTCACCTTTGCGCACAGCTTCTATCGCGGCCCCATATTACCCTGCTACCATTTTCTAATTTCTCCTTTTTTCGGCATCTAAAACAACAATCCTGTCTTAATAACTATAATATAAGCCAGGAAAAAATACACTCGATCTTTGGAGGGTAATATGGTATTATACCACATTAACCTCCATCAAGTGTACCACAAAGGCCGATCCCTGATTTTTTTAAAAAACAAATTTATAAATTATCAAATAATGTACATTTCCAGATTTTTTCAATATACTCTTATAACTTCAAACTTACCTTATCGAAATTCAACTTCTGATTAGGAAAAAATTCACTTGTTTGCTTAAACCGAACACGATATTTTACTGCTTGAAAATAAAAAAAGCAATGAGCTGCTTTTGCTTTAACATCGTAAAACATCCCCGTCTTTTTTTCAATTCATCACACGTTAGGACAGACGTTGCAAAGCGGCTATATGTAACGATATGAGTCTGTACCACATTAGACTCCTATACCACAATACCCGAAGTTCCTCTAACCGCTGTTTTCCGCTACTGAGGGTCCAATTGTTGGGTGCGGGCTTTCTTCTCACCAAGTTATCTCTCCCTCTCTCGCAGGTCACGTCGTTGCGGTGCTCCTTTGAGGACCGCTTTTTTTACATGGATATGAAGAACATAAATAAAGTAATCTATCAAAATTTACAAAATAACCATTCGCGTCGTGTTGATATGGCTTAGTATTAAATTTTGATTCGACGCCTGAAGGAATGGTAAAATTACCAAAACCAGAAAGATAAATAGTAACACTTTTAGGAAGTAAATAGTTACCCTGTTCATAAATCATATCAACAAATTCTATTTCAACTGTAGTTAATCTATATGTATTATATTATTATTATATAAAATTCTAGCGCAGGATAGAACAGCAATATAATAAAGGTAAGCTGATAATGAAATTGAACGTTTAAAATTAAGATTATAGGCGCAAAAATTTTCATAAGTTTCATTAATTAACGAAGTTAAACCGTCAAAACCCAAAAAATCATTTAACTCTTCTGTTTAATTCTTAATTCTTCAAATGGAGAAGGGAAAAACGCTTCTAAATAAAGGGGATTGTTTTTCAACTCAGAATTAGTTTTTGATAAATGTTGTCCAGTAGGCATAGTATATTTTTCTTTTGCTTCAATTGGACTACGAACATTATATTTTGGCTTGTTGGAGACTGCGCCACGTCTAAAACCACCTCTACCTCTAAATGATGATGATGAAGGTTGTGGTTGATACTCATTATAAACCGGTTGTTGATACTGCTGTTGTTGCGATTGATAATGAAATTGCTGCTGCTGTTGCAGTTGTGATGGGGGTTCGCGCCATTTCCTCTTCGAGGATAATTATTACGATTAAAATTGTAACGAGACATTTTCGCTCTGTTACTAATCACGCCTTATTGACCAAATAAGTTAATAGATACCTCTATAAGTGATTAACGCTTTGATATACGCTTTGATGCCTTTCCAAGGTCTTACTTTATACGCGATCAAGTGTTGTGGGACTACCACTTCGCTAATTAAACTATCTCTTTTTAAAAACTTAAAAACTTTGAACCGCTTTTTTTCGTTTCGATTAGGAACGTGAGGCACTACTTCAGGGCCTTTACTTAAATTCGACTGGCACGTCGGAGGCCAGATAATCTATGTATTCTACATTTATCGAATCGGACAAAAACCTTTTGCACTCGTTCTATCCTGGAAGTGTGATAATTATAAATAGGAATAGGAATATTTGTTTCACATTTTGCTGAGCCGCTCGATGCGCTCGATTATGTTCAGCCGAGATAGTTTATTGGTGTTCTTCAGGACGAAGGGTAGCCTGCCAAGCCCATATTTTCCATTCTTTACAGATAATGAAGTTTTCTCTCTATCATGCTCCGATAACTTCATCTACACCAGATTTCAAATCAAGGGTAGTCAAAGATTTGCTCCTACATACATAGATTAGACAAGATCCCTGTGATATCCGGGATCAGGTATTTGTCGCAGATAGATTTTTCGTTAAGCTTTCGAAAATCTATAGCCTGGCTCTTGTTCTCTTTACCGGTTTAATTTAAACATTTCTTCTTGACCTCGTCGTTCATGTCTTCACGCAATAACTTTTGCATAACTGTACTGTCTATATGTGTAGATTCGGGTGTGTGTATGTCGTCGCACTTGTGTGGTCATGTATCAATGAACTTCATCCTTATATTGTGGACTTCGAAGTAACCATCTTTAAGATTAATGATTGCGTCCATTGGTTTCAGTATATTTTGTCCCGTTAGTCCGTCAAAATTTTTATTATTGAAGCGGGTTAGTTTCTAACACATGAGATAGTCTTCATTAAATTCTTTAGGGAAGGGAGTGATGCTATTAAAATGTATAGGATGTTGTAATTTTGATCTCTTATATTGTGGCAATAGGTTTTTATTCAATAGGGAAGTGGTTGATCCCGTATCTAATAAAGGTGTTCTTACACGATATGTATTTGCATCTGTAAATGTGACTTTTTCAATACATATGTAATTGCTTATGTCTGTCAAATTCAAAGTCTTTATTTAACTATTTAGAAATACGTTATTTGAAAACGAAATAAACTAAACTCAGATGATTCTATCTGTGTTCAG